CAGCTAGTTGATTATTATAAAATAAAGTTAAATGAATAAATCAACGTTTTATTGAAATCCTGCATTAAGAAAAACACTCATATCGAAGATACTCATTATACTTGTCCAAAATCTTATCATTACCTAATACAAAATTTACACATTTATAAACCGCTATCAGCTTATGTTTTAAACGCAAAAGATTTAAAAGGATTCTGCGGTTATCGGGGAAAGTTCGCCATCCTACGCACACGCATTTCTAATATGGTTAAATTACCTAAATAGCATTTCTAAACAAATATTTTTGATAAATAATGCCTTATCTATCTATATTGTATATAAAACTCAAAGGTGACTGACTGACTGACATAGTGATCTATCAACGCACAGCCCAAACCACTGGACGGATCACGCTGAAATTCGGCATGCAGGTAGATGTTATGACTTAGGCATCCGCTAAGAAAGGATTTTGATGAATTCTCCCCCCAAGGAGATAAAATAGGGAATGAAAGTTTGTATGAAACTTTGTCATTTTTAAACCGATCGGGCTGATGCAGGTATAAGAAGAATCATAAATGAATGTCATTGTGTATAATACAAGCCTGAGAACAAAAACTGTTGTCTACACCGAAGCGAAGCGAAGGCGGGCCGCTAGTGTTATAGACATAAACATATATAATTATTATATCCATATCAGTAATATGTTGGTTCTATTTTTCGACAAAAGCAAACTATGTCTTTTTCCAAGCTAGTCTTTATCGCTAAACCGAGATTTTTTTTAAATCAGTTAAAGATTTAACGTCGTAGCATATAAAACAGTTAGAGAATATTACTGTCGGATTTTTTAAAAAATGCGTGGAGAAGCATTTGTGCTTGCCAGCAAGGTGAGGATAGTTGGCGTGGCAGTTCATAACTGCTGGCAGCAGAGATTGATGCAGTCTGCTGCACCAGCTATCTTAGCGTTAAGACTTTCACCTGTTTATATATCTATATCTTCACTCCGAGTCCCGGGTGGGGTAGGCCGAGAGAATAGAGCACCATAAGACCAGTGTTGTGTCGGATCTTGAGGGAAAATATTTGCTAATGATTAATACATTTTCTTCTGTATGACTGTGTATTTAGCACATTTACAACATTAAATTAGGTAAAAAGAGAAAGCTACAACCGATGCCTTTCACATATTTTTGACAAGTCCGACATTACTAAGACAGTGTTGCTAGACTATAATATCTTAAAAGCTACGTTCCGTGACACGTTTCTTACCGTACACACATCTTTCGCTTCATTTACATTAATTACTCTTTTCATACAAGCCCACGGTTTTTGCGGCTTCTGACGGCATCTACCTTCAAAATGCGATCAATTTGATCGTGATAGAATAGTGGCCTTCCTCGGCTTTTACATCCTTCCACTATCGCGTCGTATATCTGTTCCGAAATTCTGTCATTAGCCATTTTCAACGTACCTAACTCGTACCTCTATCAAATTTAACACCAATACTGTCACCCACTCTTCTCTCTATGTCAGCGTGGTACCTCCCATCTCTGCTAAAAGCACATCCGAGACATAAGATTACATTCATTTGTTCCAACACTACATTATCAGACATAATCCATACATTTGTTATGGATTCCTCTCTTTCGAAATCTACTATCTTAGTTTTCTTCACATTCAGTTGTAAACCATGTAAGCCTGTCTGCAGTTCAGCTAGATTATCTGCAACTACCACGGCGTCATCAGCGTAGTACACAGGCAGTTAACTACTAGATCACCCATTTGCAATTCCACATCCATCGACCTTAACTCTGGAGACAGTTCTAGATATATATGATGAACAGCCGGGCTGACAACACGCAGCCCTTTTTTTCTTTTTTTATGCAGGCAATACATCTATTTACAGATGTCAGCGCCTATAAGAGGCACACCGACAAACGGACCTCACACCCAGCACTCTCAAACGTCACGGGCACGATGGGGCTAACCCCCAAAGTAACCCGCGCCATTTACGAGCACGCTTAACGGCGTAATATCCGCTAAAAAACCCTGCGAATACCCTCTAAGCTGCTAAGTGCGAAGCCGCAGGATCCCCGTTTAGGGATTCTTCCGCATTTCCGCACACAGCAGCCTTCCGGCCTGGCCGATCTATGCTCCATGGCAGGTTTCTCCCGGGGTATTGAGGGGACCTCGCAGTCGTGCGCAGGATGGCCCGCGCGTGAGGGCTGAGTACGCGGCCTAGTGGCCACCGTACCGCCCCCCATCCGCTGCGGAGGGCTACTTGGGTGTGCCCTTCTAGCTCCCTCCGCCGCCCCCCTCTTTGCAGGACAGAACTAAAACAGGGGGGGCTGCCGTCACGCGATCCCTCGGATCCAGCCAGGGATCCCCGTGGGCAGAGTCATGAAACGGGCGCAGCCAGGGCGCGCACTCGTCCTCTTCTACCCGCTTTTGACAACACACAGCACTCTTTGACACCAACATTGATGCCAAACTAGGACGACAAGTTGCAGCCCACGCATGCTGTACAATCTTCATAAGTTAATTGCATAGCACGCAGCAAGGTACCGTCAATCCCATATTTCGGCAATATATTCCATAGATCTTTTTGCACAACTTTGTCAAATGCTTTCTCAAGATCCAGAATACCGCCGAAAACCCGCGGCCCAGAGCCAGATGATTCTGCACGACATTGTGAAGCGGGAAAATATGATCCGTGCGTCCCCTACCATTCCGGAATCCCCTCTGTGGGAGGCACAGATAACAGATTTCACTCTCAATATCCTTTCAATTATTTTCCTGTACAACTTTGTACATACTACATACTTTAATATATAAAATATATATAAAGCCAGGTTTATTAATTTTGAATAGTTTTCCTGGCCCGCCTGATGGTAAGCGGCCACCATAGCCGCTTGCGATACAAAAAATATCAAGCGTTGCCCACCCTGACCCGATCCCCTACCCCGTGGAGGCCTGTAACCTTACTCACCGAAAGAAATACAACACTACCGAAAGTTCACAATAGCCGTGACTTGCAAATATACTCAAGACTGTTAGCGGTCTAGACGGTACGAGAAAGATACCTGGGTGTATTCCGAAATGTACATCAGTATACTGGCTAGTGGTAATGACGTCACGAATCCGACGCCATATTGTACTGGTATGCTACCATATTTTTACCGGGAAAATGAATATGACGTTTGACCGAGCGTGCGTGAGATGCATTCGAATTTTATTTCTTTTTTTATTTAAAGAACAATAATGGCATCCGACTAAAAAGAATTCCTTTCAATTGATGAGGTGAACAAAAAATTCTTCTTTATTCGCACTATTTTTAATATTTCGTCGATTTATGACGTCAGTGCACTAGCCAATATATTTCGGAACAATTCACCAATATAGCGCCGATCCATGACGTCATTAGCACTGGCCAGTATATGGTATATATTACGGAATACACCCCTATTCGTGGCAAATGTAAAAAAATGCATTGCTGCGCCGCGCGGCTGGCTCATTGCATGCGATTGTTTTTACAAGACCCAACAAATTACCCATATTCACCATTAACAAGAACGATAGCCATCGTAGATTCATGGTGCATTTCACGCACGAAGTTTCGTTGAGCAGGACCACAAAAAAGAAATGATTAGTACCCCTAGCACGAACCATTATCGAATTCGAATAGTTTGCAAACCGAAATGTCAATGTCAAATTTTGTATGGAAACTTGAACAGCAGCGGCACAAAGTACGTAACGAGAGCTAAAAATCAGTACACATTTGACAATGACATTTCGGACTCGCAAACGATACGAATTCAACAGCAACCGCCCTCGTCAGGTCGCGTCGCGTCTCAGTGTGGTATGCTTAGGATGTCTATTTGCTGTACAATATGCAACCTTATGTACGACAAATTAAAGCACGAGACTATTTATTCGTGATTATTGCCATTGTCTTATTGCAGACAAAAGAAATCAAATTATTCTTTTGTTTACGTTCACGTGCGTATCGTTCATAATAAAAAAACAGCATTTTTATTTCATTTTTTTCCTGTTCAATGATTTTTGGCCCTGAGTGTGAACCTACCGTGTATCATCTCTTTGTCTCCAATGTTAATTTAGCTTCCCGTTATTATAAAAAAGTAGTTTCAATCAATAATAATAATATAAGCTAAGAGTATTGTATTTATTTTGCGAGCATATCTATTTTCAGGAAACTTGACAAAAGAAAGATATAGGAGAAGGATTTTCCTGTCAAATTGGAGCGCTCTGCTGAAGAAATAACTTCCATATTACAGGAAACAATAGTAAAATCACTGGTGACAGCTAATATTTCAATAGGGATGATGACTAATTTTTTTTTCTTCGTTTATCAGGTAGATTATCAAAAAGTATTGGACACGTATTTTTTCTTTTTCACATAATATAAACATTGCAGAGATATATTGATTTGAAAAGTCGCATGACGTCACGTTTTGGTACAATTTTCACTTAAAAGTGACGCCACGAGCCACTACTCCCAAACTTTGACGCGCTTTATCTTTGTAATTTATTGGTTGATTGCCCAAAGAAAAAATACGTGTCCATTATTTTTTGATCATCTAACTGATGGACTAAATAGAATTTCGTTTACTGTATGTACCCCATCATGATGCCTATTCTCCTGTTCGTCACATAGTTTTATTTTGTCATTTATCCCTAGTGGGGACAAATCCAGTGGTTACGACTGGAACTTTGAACAGCGTTTTAAACATTTAATCACTAGATTTATAAATATAGAGAAAATATTTACTAGGACAATCCTGTCTGCAACTAGACCGGGGGATAATTTAGTAAATATTTTCTTCCGATTAAATAAGAACCCACGTATAATGTATTTGTATACTTACCAAATTTCTAGATAACTTCGACATTTACGCGTGATTGAGTAACAATAACAAACACACATTTTTTTTTATTCATAATATTATATTAAAAGGTAAAGACTTCGAGGCAAAATATCTCGAAAATTAAAAAAATCAAATAAACTATATTTTTCTGCTGCTATATTTTTATATTATTTTACTTTACAGATTATGTTATGTAAGTTCCTACTACTTACGTATAAACTTAGCTATTTAATATCTTGATATTTTTAAGATAGATCTACATTATAATTACTACATTAACATTTTCGGGTTTCACGTTTGGTGACCACTTTTTGAATTGACTACCTCTGCATGCGACCATTTCTGGTTTTGACCACTGCTGCTTAAGACTACCTCGTAAAACGACTGTTTCTGGATTCACCATTTTGTTTTTCATCTACTTTTAGTACCTACCAATAGTGTGCAAATTAATAAAAAATATATAAATGATTTTTGATAACAATCTCAGAAGGTACTGATGTGATGAATGGCTGCAGCAGCCCTGGTGTTGCTGTAGTATCAAGCTGAGGCAGGGACCTAGTTGGCCATCTTTTTTATTGTTTTTATTTATGTTAACAATACTGTTTATGGTCAATAAAATTTATTTATTTCTTTCTTTCTTTCTTGATGATTGTTAGATTTGTTTTTATTTTAGGTGTTACTTCATGTCGTCATCAAAAAAAGTTGCATATATTTGCACACCGTAATCAAGGTAGTTAAATAAGGTAGTGGTCAAAAGCAGAAATGCATACAAGAATTAGGTTTTACAAGAAGTGGTCCAATCCAGAAAGGATCTTAACTAGAAAACGACCAATGAAGAACTAATCCTTAAACGTCAAACCCACATTATTTACATTGTTTTATATCAGTAGGTAAGTATAGGTAGGTAATAAATAAAAGATCATAATACAAGGAACACAAATTTCTAAAATAAATCTTAAATTTAATCAGTCTGCGCTTCCCAATCTTCAGCAGTAGTAATATTAACTGCTTTTTTCGATTCTTCCCACAACTTTTCAGTAAATTCTGCGTCAGTTGCCCACCAATGGTTTAACCATTTGCTACAAAATTTATAATTAAATCCACTTATATTATATAATTCTGGCTCCGCAGCTAAATAAGCCAATTGCTTACCAACGTCTTCCTTGGGCTGGCCGATGAGGCTAATCAAAGGTGCTGCTATAGTGCTTGCCCAACCTGGGACATTCAATAAAATATCAGTATCGCGCACAATGAATGGATCATAACTATTAGCGGTTACACCTGTGTCTTGAAGTCTTCTACTCAGTTCAACAGCTAATAATGCATCCGCTAATTTAGAATTAGCCAGACTCTCTACCCAAGAATACCTGCCGATATCATTCCAGTGGTCAAAGTCGATGCTGCCAAAGTACATTGATGCGGCAGTCCCAATAATTATCCTGCTAGGCGACGATTTCTTTAGCAATGGCAGCAGAAGGTATGTTAATAGAAATGCACCAAAGTAATTGACTTGCATAGTAAGATTGAGTCCGTCTTCTGTCAATCGGTCAGGAAGTATTACAGCTCCAGCGTTGTCTATCAGAATATCCAGACGTGGTTCATTGTTAATAGTGTTTCTAGCAAAACTCCTCACAGAAGACAGAGAGGCTAAGTCCAGAATCCCGTACGCTATATCACTGTTCCCAGTGGCGTTTTGGATATGATCCTTAGCCATTATGAGTTTGGTTTCATTTCTACTAGCAATAATAATCCGTGCACCACGACTGGCTAGATTTTTTGCAGCTTCCAAGCCTATTCCTGAGCTACCTCCTGTCACTATAGCCACTTTTCCGTCCAATCTGGCTTTAGTTTCGCACATTTTGTAAACGTCAACGACACTTTTAAAACACACCTTTTATCAAGCAGTCTGAGATGACACTGTAGGCGGGAAAATTTATAACAATGCGGAACTTCGATATTAATGGAACTATCAAGGTTAAAGGATGCGTGAGCATTACCATGGAATCGCACCCCGTATGTGACTTCCGTTCGAGTTGCAAGATGAAATGGTTGTGATCTTGTTAGGAATATACATTTCCTTTACCTGAGTAGGTTATATGAATAAATTGCCTTCCTTATTTTATAATAAGGTACGCAAATCATTCCACTGCATCTAATGTTAATTGGTGATGATGTCCAGACGCCAAGTTAGCTGGTGTCAACCCCAAGTGCCATACTAAATTACGATTAATAATAAATGCTACTTATCTTAAATACTATTTAACAGTAACTTCCTAAAACAAATAGATTGAAATCATTCTATATTTAAGTCTACAATGGAACCAGCACGTTTGGCTGTCTAGACGATTGCAGAAATACTAGCCAAGAAAAGGGGCACCAAAGAATTCCATCGAGAACTCTTAGTAATGTCGATGTGACTTCATTAACAGAAGAAAAACAACAACCGTGTTTGTACGTTGAACTCGTGAACACAAAAAATAGGCCGGACATATAAAAAGGTTTTGCAAAACCAGTTACGAAATTATTTTTAATTCAAAGACGTATCTACTTAAACCTTTGCGATATAAATAATAATTAAACACAGAATGATTTTAAAATTCGTTTCTCAATTCGTCCATTCCTAAAAAATACTTTTTTGACATTTTACATAAGGGTGAATAAAATTCATCAAAATAAGATTTTTACCAATTAACGATAAACTAAGTCCGCATCTATATTTTCTGGATAGCTATGGAACAAAGGTTTATAGGGATTTAAGGAAGCAAATGGGATGCAATTTTTGGCATATGAAAATTCGTGTAATGAGGATCCGTAAAAGCCGTATCCGTAAGATCCGCAAAGTTAGTTGAGAATGCAGATTTATAGAGCTAGGGATTCAGCCAGAAAATACAGTGGTTAATTTTTTGGTACTACGACAAATATTGACGAAGTTATGACCAAATTACTAAACCTATTTTCGGCTGGCCGCGTAGTAATTGTGACGTCACAGAGCTCTAGCGCTCGGGCGCGAGCGTGCGTAGAGACGCTACTAAAGTTCGACCGAAGTGAACCACGATTGAGCTTTATGATGTCACACGTTTCGGCCGCCGGTGAATATTGGCTACCATCAAATTAATTTTAAAATCGCAAAGAATGAACCGATTACGGCGATTAAAAAAGTAAATTAATTAAAAAGATCATCATACTGTTGATTTTGAGTTGGTTTGCTGACCTAGTAATGGATTCTCATTGCACTCGGTATGTATTCTACTTTGACCAGCCATCCTGACGTCAGAACCGCAGGTCACTAAAATGTTTTGATTATTCTTTAAATATTGAGGAAGCAAATCCCTGATGATAGAAATCAAATAGAAACAAATGGGAAGCAATGCCGGCCGCCATTCCAATTGATTTCAAAGCTAAATAAAATTAGTGACCTGCCATCCTGTCGGTTACCACGTAGGCAGTGTTGTAAGAAATACTTTAAAAAAGGTATCTAATATACAAAATACAAGATACCAGGTAGTCAAGTATTTAGATAACAGATACAGGATACTTTTGGAAAAAGTATTTGAAATACCAGATACAAGACAAGTATTTTCAAAATACTTTTTTAAGATAAAGATACTTTTTGAATCAAAACATGTTAGCAATATAGCCAGTCCGCTGTGCCTGTTTTTTGATAACATAACCGTTAGGCCACGAACCTAAAGACGCGGCTGCTGTTCTTCCAATCATCAAATTCATCGTCATCATCTTACGATTGATCTTACTTGCATACACATTTTTCACCATGAATTAATGATAGTTTCGGTGTATTTTTTTTTTCGATATTCTGAAAGTGCAGTATGGTCAGTTTTAGGATGGGTGACCATGATTATGAATATGCAGGTTGTTTACGATTGGTTGGGTTTGGAATGGGTGAACGCGATTATTAATAATACTAGCAAACCAGTGAACCAAATGTTCACCAAAAAAAAAATGTATTTAATTAATTGAGAACTTCGGGAGAATTTGTGTGGTTTCGTTTGAAAAAGAAATCACGTGATTTCTCGAAAACTGGAAGTGCTACGTTACTCACATCCGGTTTGTAGTCTTATCAGACTATTCTTAACTTATAACTTAAACATTCTCTATATCTATCTCTTACGGTTTGGCCGCTGAAACAGCACCACGGACGGACGGACGGACGGACTTGTCTAATAGATAAGAGATGCAGGTTGTTTACGACTGGTTGGGTTTGGGATGGGTGACCGCGATTATTGATAATGTGCACTGTTTACGAATGGCCATGTTCAAGAGATGATATCATGAATAAGCTCTGGTCTCTCTCTAATTACAAATTTCAAACGACTCTATTTTCTCTAGTGAACGCTAACAAAAAATTTACCTTAAATAAAGTTGATAGAAAAATAATGCACTTAGGCTTAGAATAGTAACGCGCTAATTTACAAAAATGCATGCGTTTTAAAATCAATGTTGAGAATTATAAAGGATAAGAAAAAGTATCTTCATAATACTAAGATACTGAAAAAAAGTATTTAAAAACAAGATACAAAATAAATTTTAAAAAAGTATTTGAAACAAAAGAAACAAATACGTATTTTGTATCTTGTATCTGTATCTTCTAAGATACTTTTATCTCAGATAAGTCACATCTCTGCACGTAGGCACTTGAAAAATAAAATGGATTAAATAAAAAATATTTTTATGCGAAATATAAAAACCGACATCAAAATCCAAAAGTAAAGGAACTAAAAGGTATAAAATAATATTCCTTAAAGTAGTTAGTTCCAAAGTGTAAATAATATTCGGTTCACACAAAATCGGACGGGTCCTATTATGATTTTGGAAGTCAGGCGGGTCCAGATTGAAATTCGCAGACCGATTAAAATGAAAATCTATTCCATGTTCCAAATCTTACTAGGACCTGTCCAATTTCGTGTGACCCGGATATTATTTTTTTACTTTTGACTTGATAACGGCTTATAAATCGATGATCACTGGCTGCACGCACGAAAAAGTGTGACGTCAAGTCACGAGTCACCTTAGTTATATGACGTCATGTCATGTTATTTTAACGTTCCGCGGTGTGTGTGAGTGAGGTGAGGTCGAGTGGTTCCTTAGACGCCCCTCCTCCCTTACCCCGGGTCCACCTTTTTAACTGTATTCGATTAACTTAACAAAAAAATAATGATCACATTTCAGTTCCTTTTGATGTGTTTATTCATGTTAATCACGTTGCAATTAGTGTTAACTTGGTTCTTGATAACATTTCGTTGGTTTCCGTCGCGTAGAAGGTCTGAGTTATCAAAGTCTTCCCATCTGGTATCGGTAATGGGAAATTCTTTGGCGGCAGCTCTATATTCACAAAGTGGTAAGTGCCCTATAACAACATATATTACATATTATTATATTTATATGTTCTAAGCGTGTAACTGCTAGATTTTTAATCTTAAGATAACTTAGTAGGAAAAAATCGACTTTGTTTAGATTTCGGAAGGGATTTGAACCCGCATCTGCCGCTGTAGATAGCCGAATCGTTTCAGGAACCAGGACCAAGTGGAACTTTGTCTAACTAAATTTTCTACACTTTACTTTAACTGACTTATAATCAGTAACCCGCCCTCGCTTATCTTGGTGTAAACTATAATCTTTGCTGTCGGACTTGCATTACACGTCCTCGTATAAACCTTCCGGGGGAAATATCTAATTGATTGTGAAAACCGTGTGTTTAAGCGAGCCAATATTAACATTTAATAGTCATCTGATATTGATGGTGCGCGGTACGAACAGTTGTTCAACTAGTTTTTTTATTTATTAATACCTAACTATTTTGATCAATGTGGTTTACCAATCCGTCTACTTGGTGGGTCTTAGTCTTTTCTTCGTAGATATAGGCAGCAGTCAGTCGGCAGTCAATGATAATGTTTCACTCACCGCTAATATCGGACACTTGGGTTTAATATCCGTAAATACCAAAAGGAATTCTGCCACCCATTTCTTGTTTAACAATTCACAAATTCTGTTTTGAAGTTTGTAAGGCGCCATTGTGCCGTTATTTTTAAAAGTCATTGATGTCTGAAATGAAATTAAAGATAAATGAAATGAAGATAAACTTTAATAAAGTTGACTTATGAAAAGCTTTTTTAAATCGTCCTTATATATTTTTAATCCTACCACCTGTTCAGGACATATTTAAGCTGACAAGAAGAACAGGCGTAAGAAACTTCTCAGCTTTTTATAAAGTAGCGACATTTCCATAAAAATATGCCAACACAATTATTATATTATGTTGCCATCAGTGCTTATGGCAACATCAGCATCATGCTGATTTGGGACCGTTTTGAGACAAAAAAATTAGATGTGCGTGTTTTGTTTATATATTCTTCTACTGATGCTTTGTCTCAAATAAAATTATTTTTCTTTCTTTCTTTCTTATTATAATTTCATTCTTTATGTGCTACAAAGAGCAAGAAAATTTAATATAACATTTTATTAGATAACTTTAATGAGCAAAGGATGGGAGTAGATGGGTTATTCCCAGACATTTTAGTCTTGCTGTTTCGACATCAGTCAGAAGCCTTATTACTTTTACAGCGTATGCTGCCGAGTTTAGTCTGCTGGATAAATCAATATGAGCATCCCATTTCAATCTCGAATCTAATGTTAAACCTAAAAATGTTGTACTTTGAACTACCTCACCATTAGTTCTTAGCGGAGTATCAACATGTCTTACATTTAGTAAAGAAAATATTATGAATTCAGTTTTCTTTGAGTTTAAGGGAGGTTATTTAATGTGAACCATTGTATTATTTTTGAAAATACACTATTTACTTCGCCTAAGAATTTGCTGCCTCTGTCAACAAAATAAAATTAAAAAGTATCATCTGCAAATAGTTACCACTGTTTCACAAAATTGATTAGAGAAACACGGATGATCATTAATGTGTTATAATGACTTATCGGGCTGCGTGTCTATAGATGCTAGACAATAGCTTGACTGGTAATAATTTGTTATTTCTTTAAGCATTCAACTGCTAGATGTCCAAATCTAAAGCAAATTTTAGTAAAAAAAATTCAATTTGAGTTGGAAAATCCTAGGAAGTATTCCGTTACTCATTTCCATAATCAGTGCCCCATTTTTTTTGCATTCGTAATATTTTTAGAGGATCATTATGATATTCACATCCATATTGAAAAGCTATCCTACTTAATATTATAAATGTGCAATTTTGTATTTTTGTTACTCAATCACAAACAAACGGCTGTATTACCCGGAATGAGACATAGGATACTCTTTATGCAATAAATGTTAAGTTCCTTAGGGGTTTTCAAAAAACTGAAGTCAGCGCGGATGAATTGAAGACATATAAATGCATGAGACTATCTTCTGATTACACAACCGATAATGGACGATGATATAGAAGATGTTTCGCTAAAATCAATTACGCTATGATGATCCAGTCACGGCATATCACTTAGGTTTTTTACTAGGTATGTTATTGCTTACGCTGACATTGTTGTTCCAAGGGTTCTTCATAGTAAAAGTGAAGTTAGTCTTGTACGTCTCCCCTCTACGAGATCTAGCCGTAATGGCGGTGCAGTGTGAGAACTCTCTGGGATTGCATTCCATCGAGGCCCTCTCCTGGCGGTAGTGGCGTTTATCGCGCTGAAATCATCTCGCAAGCTGATTATTTAAAAAAAAAGGTTTGGTTTTATCGGACCACGATGCAAGGGAAACTTTTATTAACTTATTTGAAATTTCTCTGGCTTATAAAAAGTGAAAAAATATGAAAAAAAATATAATGTCGACTATGGGAATGCGGCATGATGAAAAAAATAATTGTGGCGATGATGTAATAGAGTAAGATCCTAAGGCTGCTCAGACCTTACTCATTTTTTGATGGACAAAATATTGATAATCGAGTAGTGTTAGTGTGTATAATGAACGTATACATACTTGCTCACTTGTGCTGTGGGCCAAATTTCAGAATTCAGATGGCACAGGTACGTAAATAAATATCTCACTTTACTTACAATCTGAATACTGATTTTTAGAAATGGCCCATAGCACAAGTTAGCCAGTATGAGCATGTATACGTTCATTGTACACATTAATACCGGCACCTTACTCAATTATCCATATTTTGTCGACCAGAAAATCTATTTGAGGTAAATCTGACATTTTGCACAATCAAATCGTAAGAAATATGCATGCAAAACCTTTTCTAGTTAATTAGTTCACTATTTAGATTTTTATTTTATTTTTACATACTGTATTAACGGAGGTAGACAACCACACAAAAACGACTGTTCCCAACAACAATTTATACATTTTCTCTCATGTGTAATCACGTAATGTAATCGAACCTTACTAAATTTAGTTTGTATTATTTAATATCACGAGAGATTATATCCAAATATCGCAATCATACTTTTCATTTAAAAATAAAAGTCAGTAATAACTAATCAAAAAACCAAATTGTTCCAAAACTGTTCCGGAAGTGGAGTGGCTGATAATTTTAAATCTGCAAACAACATCTACTTATCTGCCAATGACGTACCACAGTCTGTGTTTGAATTTGTTCCCAAGATTGTTCTTAATATTTTTCATGTTACCAAAGAACAGATTGAAGAATCCTTTGAAAGATTCATAAAAAATGCTTCTTAAAACTCAGTGAAAGCTAGTCCCCCAAGCAAAAAAAGCAATGCCTTGGACATTTAGAAAATGCTTGGTTTTATCAACTTATGAACCACCAGAAGAAGTGTCCAGGCTCCCGGCAGAACCGTTTTTCCCCCCCAAATTAGATCAATTGCTTTGAACAGGATGAGGATGTTTAAGAACTTTAGCAGATTTTTACTGGGGTCTAGGCACAGTTTTTAATCGTGTCTACGTCCGGTCGTCAGTAAGGTATGGGACACTATGAAGCTCTGTTAACAATACCGGTGCTAACGACGGTTTGGGGTTGATAAAAACGTACAAACCGTGCTCGTGAAAAAGCCGGCTCCGGCCGAAGTAGAAACCAGGTAGAAATCGTCTCGTCAACAAATGCCCTAAAAGCATATTTACCGCATTTCCCTGGCGCTTCAGCTAATTTCTAAAGTGAGATAACTGTAAAAGAGCTACTTAGATTTTCTGACATGTGGAAGTAACCTTCTCAGACCGGTGAAACTAATTCAAGTGCAAAGCATAGGCTTTCCCTTAGGATCTCCAAATCGATCGGTCCTACGGTCCTACGCTGTCCGTATCCAGTCGCATGCTGTATTTTTTACAAGATCGACACACCTTTTGCCTACATACTGAGCGTCGTTCGGTGCGTGATCGCTATTCGAGATCTCGAACGACCATCAGTTATCCTCGCTACGTGTTTCCTCCACTGCTGCTTCAGCTGAGAAACCCTTTGAGTTGTGTAGGTTATTTAATTTCCTAATTTTTGTTTCTATTGGGAAAGTTTACTGATTTATTATATACGGTATTTTCCTGTGCCATATTCAATATACCTTACACTTAGATATGTTTTTGTGTCACTAAAGTATGAAATGTAATGAAGGTTCATTATAACAAAACCGGTGTCACGGTTCGCTTATGGTCATGATTTGATCAGCTTGATGTCATATGAAGATAACATAACATGAGTTCGGATATTCTGTTTGATTAGGAACTCAATCTTTTGACGAATATTTCAAATGTACAGTTAGAGAGGTTGAATTATTATGTTTCAAAATTCTCTTTAAATCAAATTAAAAATCGATATAAATCCTTTAACCAATTAGACAACATGTTTTTATTACTTTGGTTGGATTGATGAGTCGGATGTAGAGGTATATTGTTAACAAAGGTGGTCTGACCCAATATTTTTGGTATTCAGCCGCGTCAGCAGACGCTGTCCGATAGACAGATCTCTAGCAAACACTTCTGTATCTTTGTTGTATATATGGTATCTTTAATCCTTCCGGTATTAAAGTAAAGTACAAGGTCGTGTAACTGTGACTTGAAGATATGCCTATTAATTTGCCATTAGGTAATAGGTTGCCGCATTTGCTAATGACTGTAGTCTCATTTTTTGTCTTTCTTTCATGATTACGAGAACCTCACGTGTCCTTAAGTTTTGTGAGTCTTACATAATTTGGAATTGTATAAACTGTTTCGCTTGTTAAGAAGATTGGATATTCTAAACAAGTGAAACGATTTTGGACTTCGAGTTGGAATCTTTCAGATTTTTGGATATACATATGCGTGAAAGGGTTGGAGCGTTAACTTCACCAATAGAGACCTTTCTAACTTAACATTGATACTCAATGAGCCTCTTACCATCATGTGATCACTATCGGTTTTCACCCTGTTGATCACAAAGACTTCATTGAACCTACCTAGTATGACCAAAACATTTTACAAAATAAAATTAATAAAAAGAATCATTGAATCCATGAGTTAAGTTGGTTATTCTCATAATGTAGCTAAAACAATCTTACTCACTACCAAGGATGACGAAGAACATTATTTCATTAATTTTGTACGTTGGCTGCAATTTTAGGTGTTGGTTGTTGCTCTGAAGGATAGCACTGCAAATCTAACAAATAACTCGCTGTGCACGACCTTTAAAAAAAACTAATGACTATACGCTAATGGCTTATACTCGAAATATAATGAGACCTTAATGAGTCACAACACAATACTTTAATGCGATAACGAGTACATATCCCATATTGATACCAATAGCAACAGCATCCAACATTAATATTTTGTATGTAAACCCAAAGATAATGGCAAATAAGTTTCAGTGTATCACATCTATTATAATATTGACTTTCAATCTAAATATCTTTATGTGTGATGTGAGTGTTATTTTATTCCTTAAAATAGTTCTAGAGAATGAGTTTGAAAAAATTGCAAACGAAAGAATCTTCCAAATTCGTGAATTTACCTATATTACTATAATTAAATGGAGGAGAAATTTATTAGTAAACAATTAAAATTCATTAGACTATATCTGAAATCAGATGTGATGTAAAATATTATTAATTGTGCCATATTCCGGCGACATAATCACTATTCTATTCTGCAGAATTCAGAGAAGAAGAACTGGGCCAGGATAAAGCTGGAGATCTGCAACCCGAAATACTTCTTAAACTGTTCTATCACCACGTTTGAGGCGAAGCACCAGAATGGAGACGGGGGCAGAATCCTCATAAACATGACTTTGACGGCACTAGTTCCCGGCACGAATAACTTATCGATTGTCAGTATTCCTTATCGTAACACCTTAAAAATAACTTCAGTATTAGAGTCCAGCTTTTTATGGTCGCTTCCAATATATCATAACTGAATTTCGTATCATAGAATACAATTACAAGAACATTTAACCGTCCTGTTTCAATATTGATTTAGTGTATGCTCCTAATGATGCAGTTATAATGCTCTATGTGCCTTGTAGTCCACAACGGTCGAGAGACGTTGGCGTCCGCCGTACTCGAGTTCCCAGATTTGTTCTAGTCCTGGTACGAGCAGGCAGCAGCGAACTTCGTGATATCTTCCCATTCTCTCCGCTTGCCCGATCTTTTTTATGTCATATTATATTTGGTAGTAAGTACTCATGTGAGTTATTGTCACCAGGGTGGCACAGTCGAATACAAGTCAAAGTTTCGCGTGAATTACCACTACAAATTCTGCGATTTCTTAAAGCTGCCATGGGTCGTAGCAATTTTGGAAACGCAGAACGTGCCGCACCCATTGCCCTGTCCCTACCCTGCCGTGAGTAATCCTATTTTATACTGGTCACATACAAACTCAATCACGCAATTTTTATAATCATAAATACTTAGATTAGATAAGATAAGATAACAGGGTAACATACTTGTAATACGCAGTCGCAAATTATATATTTTTATATTTCGTCTCAATATATTTTATATATGTAAATGTCACCGGATTTTTTTACAAATTCTCGCCAATTACGCCCTGTCAATGTTAAGTGTTAGAACTGTTAGAAGAGTCCAGTTAGCTGGTATGGCTGAAAATCAATTCATTTTGCAGGCCTTATTGGACGACGATGATAAATTTATTGATGCCAATACCATTTAAATCTTTGTGCCAATAGATTACATTATACTTACTATAATGTTTACTCCACTCCATTTGATGTTTTGTACTCTAAACTTGCCAGCTTGAACCGTACTTATTTCAAGCCGTGATGAGAGTGTGGTCGGAGTGGTATAGGAATTAATTGCCCGTTGAGTTCTGGTAACTTTACTTATTGTAGAATTACCACATAACGTGACTGTACTTGGCTACAGTCTCCTGTATAGGTTATACGAGGTTGTGATAAGGCTGCCTCAGATATTTTTTTAAGTTGTTCCTCTGTGCCCAACCCTCTAATTTTCTGTTCACATTCCAGGGTACCTTTAGTGTGCATAATGTAGAAATGCCACCAGCAAAATGGCCCCTGCTGTTGAAGAGCACCAAATACCGCATATATTTAGAAGTGAATGAAACGAGTACAAAGGAGCGAGCAATAGCTATAACCTTGCAAGGTGAAATGTTCAAACCTAATAAAAGAAATGATTAAAATCATTCACGATCCCAAGTACGGAAATAATCTTAACCAATCAACACTGATGTTTCTAGAACACATTTTATTAATAAAAACACAAAATTTTAAATAAACTTAAATTTTAAAAATAAAATCTTACTTGTGTTTTCTTTCGTATTTTCAATGAAGTGCCAAAACCACTACTTCAACAAAACTGAAATTAGAAGCCTGATGGAGCTGGCAAATATATACGTTAAAAGACTGCGATTTACGATAAAGGGTAAACCGTTAGTTAAATGTTGTCCACCCTCCCCTATCTCATTCTAATGCTGTATATATCTTCAAATTTGTTTAAATCAATAAAATGATACACTTGAGTAAATGATGCAATGAGTTGCAAGCTGAACTTAACCAGGCTTCACGTAAGAACCCGAGCAGCATAGCAGCACTCAACACAAAGTGTCATGAATCCACGTAGAGCATGATAAAACTTTTTTGTTAAGTATATGCTCTTTTTAGTGATGCGGTTCTTATATTTTTTTTGATAGCTGTCTATTTATTTTTTCTGTGGCAGTGATGTCGACAAGCTAGGACATCATGGACTGTCTTGCCAAAAAAGTGCAGGCCGCTTCTCGAGACACGCCGCACTTAACGATATCATACGCCGGTCCCTTGCCACCGTCAACGTGGGAAGTCTACTTGAGCCAACTGGTATTGCAAGAGACGATGGCAAGAGACCGGACGGTATGAGTTTGATTCCATGGAAGATGGGTCGGGTGCTAGTATGGGATGCAACCTGTTCAGACACGCTGGCCCCTTCCCATCTACATGGAACCAACAACAGAGCTGGTGCGGCTTGTGAAGCGGCTGAAAAAGCTAAGGCAGGCAAATACAGGGGTCTAGGCTCCGAATATGATTTTGTCTCATTCGGTGTCGAGATCCTTGGTCCGTGGGGTCCTAGCGCTATAAGACTTTTTAAAGAAATAGCAAAAAGATTAGTCGACATTACAGGAGACCGAAGAGCTGGCAGCTACCTCGGACAAAGAATTAGTCTAGCTATCCAAAGGGGGAACGCTGCCAGTATTTTCGGAACCTTGCCTAAAGGGACTCCTTTTAATAATGTATTTTAGTTATTATATTTTATTTTTTAAGGTTTTTAGTTTTAGGTTCATTGTTATAGTATATTTTTTGTTTTAATTATTCTTAAATTTGTTCATATTGCACCATATTGTTAGAAGAAAAGAATGTTTTTTTTTTCCCATTGTATTTAATTTGGTTTTTGTGATCTTCAATATAATTATTTTATCCCAAAGGGCTATTTCATTTTGTTAGTGTCTTGGGCAAGGCGTAAGCCAGGTAATCATCCAAAATAACCTGGAAGAAGCGAACAAATTCTTCACACAAAGTTTATCAATTATAAAACTTTTTTCTGTAACAGCTTAACAGTGATTCGCTCACAGATGAATGAGCTTCATAATAATCGAGATCCTTAGATTGAGTAGATCGGGATGCGCTTTTGTTAGAAAATGTTACTCGTGCACGGTATTCGCGTAAAGCCGGATAAAGACACTTGCGCCACAACTGTCACCAACTTCGACAAGTGCAATTTATAGATTTTTACCTCTGGCAGCATTTCCGTGAGTTAGAGAGCGGGTAAGCTTGTTTCCCTCGATAACCCCAATCCGCGGCCTATTGTTGAGAACTTTGCTGATGCGAGTATACGGACAGTTTTATTAGAGGTAGCATATATCTGCGAGCAATAAGGTATTTATGATTATGTAAGTGGCCTTGGATGAATAAATAACAACTGTAACATATTACGTCCTTACCTAATTCCGATCAGCTTGATCCTTTGGCTTTGCGTAGGGATGTAGCTTCGCTCTGCATCTTCTATCGCATTTATCACGGGGAGTGTTCTGAGAAATTGTTCGGATTAATTCCAGCTGCTGCATTTCGCCATCGTACATCGCGACAAAAATTTCATCCCCATCATCTTGATGCGTGGCTATCCAAAACCGTGCGTTTTTGTCGAAATTTTTTACCACGTACGACAAAACTGTGGAATATGTTGTCGCCAGCAGTGTTTCCGAACCAATACGACCCAAGAACCTTCAAAAAAAGAGCGTACTCCTTCCTTAAAGCCGGCATCACATTTGTGATACTCCTGGTGTTGCAAGTGTCCATGGGCGACGGTGATCACTTACCATCAGGTGAGCCGTCTGCTCGTATGCCCCCTATAACATAAAAAAAAATGAAATTCGCAAGTAATGGTGTTCTGTTAATTAACCTTTCAAATAATATTGATCACATAATACATGGAATTATGTGTGATAAATCCTTCGAGATGTTCCAAACGCGCTGGTGCCATGGTGGAACTCATAAGCAAGGCGATATCTTTTTTAAGTTTTCCGTGTAGTAAACATAATCACTTAACACAAAGCATACATTTTGAATCTAAAATTCCTAACCAAAATGGCAGCATTTGAGATCAAAGTAGCCAGTGCGACGAAACGGTTGGATATATCTCGTGATTCAGTAGGACTTACTTTTTGACCGCGAAAAATATCTGTTTATAATAATGACACCGAGCTTACTCGCTCACTAAACCGATATTAATGAAAATTGTCATTGTGGTCGGACTTCCTCTTAGATTTATTAAAAAAACACTAAATTAAGATAATGAGGCGTAGATAAAAGGTATTCTGTAGAAGCGGTGACCTTTCGCTTTGTATAAACAAATCGACTAATACAATTCGCTTTATATTTTTTATTTCATTTTTGGCTATGTAATTTAAATGTACAAAACAATATAAAATGATAATAGAGCCATAATAGATATTACGGTAATTACCAACTTAGTATTCAGTTAAGAGCGATATGATGATTGTGTATTTGGAAATGTTTAAAACATTTTTGAAACTCGCTCTGGGTTTAAATTTGTGGGTAACCTTAAAAGTGGTAAATATCCTTACATGTCTCTATTTCCATGTGACTACCTAACGAAGGAGCCAATAAAGTTTTTGCTTTTTTCGGTTCTTTGAAAAACCAACAAAGAACATGATAACCTTCATACACTACTTAACGAAGAATTTTGCTTGGGCTCTCTGAATACCTTAACTCCATCTTCCTACCCCGTGGAACTCTTGTAATTAGCAGACTTCATGAGCAACGACCATAGAAAAGCACGCCTGGAAGAAAGGAAGATTTTTTTGAACGTAAGCCCTGATTTGACGAAGACGAAAGAAAATTTGATAAATTTTTCAATTATAGTGTACGTTCAGTGATATCCCAAATTACATAAATATTACAACAATGTGTCTTTCAGCATCTCCAATTTTGGATTCCGACTAAAGCAAAAAAAATTTATCCCGTTAGGACTAATTAAACCTTGTTTTGTTCACATTGAATCTCCAATGGCATTCATTTTAGTTTTCGCCAGTAGTGCAGTAGTACTTTGTGTATTTTCTCCGAAGCAAAAAATGAGGAGCTGGCTAACAAAACGGTATCATTGTATAAAATTAAATTTTACAGCTGTATAAAACTGAATGACATACCTCCAGTGAGCTTTAGTGGTAGAGCAAAACAATAAAAATAATAATATTCTTTATTGACATACACCTCACAAGATATACAAGACATTAAACATGAAAGTATAAGAATAGGAGGCCTTATTGCTAAACAGCAATCTCTTCCAGGCAACCCATGGCAGTGAAATAAATAAAGAAGAGGAACAAGAAGAGAGGGGTGTAACAGGTATGGTAAAATAAATAATGAATAATAGATGCAATAGATATCTCCAAAGAGAGAGGTAAGATTTAAAGTTGGGAAAGGAAATAACCTCTAACTTTATCACTAAACGAGCTTAGAGAGCGAGCCTTCCGGATTGTTTCAGGCAGGGCTTGTTTACCGGTTAATTTTCAAACCTAAATCAGTGCCAAGTACATTAGGAGCGTTTTATTTAGGTTTGGCTCTACCTTAACCTTAATAAACCGGTTTTCCTAAAGAGCGAAATCAAATAGGTTTTGAATCAATTTAGCGGTTTTTAAAGGGTTTCATTTCGCTCTTTCTGACGGCATTGATAATAAATGAATATCTTGACTCACTAGACGCTAGCAAACGTATCAATAAATGCACCAATCTCTCTGCATTAACAAGTTGTGACTTGATTAGTTCAAACAAAACAAACTTCAAGCGATGCCGACGCTTGCACGTGTCGCTCTGCATTAAACCGATTTATTAAGGTTTTAGGTATTGCTTTCATTTCGGACGCGCTCCGAACGAAACCTTTACTAAAAACCGGTATTAACCCTTATTTACCGGTATTTTCGAAACCGGTTTCAAGCCCTGGTTCCAGGTAGTGAGTTCCACAAACGAACAGAATGCACAGAGAAGGAATATGAAAAGAAATCAGTTGAATGGAGTGGGACTGCAAGGGTTAGATTTGAAGAGGACAACTTTTTGGACGATTGAAAAGAATTGTACTATGCGTTCAATTTGAATAAAAAAATGTGTGTGTCAGCTCCGACGCACGACCGGAGTTTACACTCTAAAAACGATTGTCTTTGAACAGACACAAAACAAAATCAAGTCCGAAGAAGTCGATCACAAGTAGAGATACCTCAGGAATCGTCCCATGGTTTCGACTATCATAGGTTCCATGTCACACATTTTATCATCTAACATCAGCGCTATTCATCATATATTTTATTATGTATTTTAGTCCAGGCAACGAATGCTCAAAAACAGGTATAGAGGGAAATGCTTGGAACACAATTTTTGACTTCGTGACTTTGTTAGGACTAGTTAGGAGGTAAACATATCAAAAGTCCCCGCCCGTAGCCCTTAAGCCGGGGGGGGGGGGGGGGTGGCGCTTGAAGGTCCTAAAACTATGCATCCTAGCGATATGAGACTTTCACAAAAGTGAAAGCTGATTAAATTTGCTACAAGTCTTATTCAGTCAAATTTTTTGATATCTTGTATAGTTTTCGAGATATCCGCTCTTGAAAGTCTGTAATTATGGAAAAAAAAATTGTTCC